GGAAAGCCGGGATATAAAAAGTAAGCTATGCAACTATCTGGAGATGCCTAAATGAATCCGGTGATTATATTTCGAAACTGTTGATTGCGTGTCATTGTCGTGGTGTTCATAATATCGCTCCGTAACCTATGCAACTCTCTAGAGACGGCTACACGCGATCAGGCGGTCAAGTTCTGAAGCTTAGTTGACCGCGTGTCATTTCCGTTGTGCTTCATAATATCGCTCATTGGAAATCCGTAACCTATGCAACTCTCTAGAGACGACTAAACGGATCAGGCGGTCAGGTTCTGAAGCTTAGTTGACCGCGTGTCATTTCCGTGGTGCTCATATATCGCTCATTGGAAATCCGTAACCTATGCAACTCTCTAGAGACAACTAAACGGACCAGGAGGTCAAGTTCTGAAGCTTAGTTGACTGCGTTTACTGGCGGTGGTGCTCATAATATCAACCACTGGATTAACTGGTCGAGATTAGGTCGTTTACACACGCCTTCAAGCGGATGGAATATTGTCTATTGTAACATAAACAACTGAATAAATGATTAGGATACGTATATTTCATTTTACCAATCCACATATATGAGGAAAAGGTGTTTAACAATACGACCACTAGATGGCCTCATACAAAACTACAGGTGGCAAATAAGAAGATGTTTAACGGGTTTTTTCTCTTCAGAAACTTTGTTATGCAGCTTGATAACACTGTTTGCTTAGTTTATCTGTACACGACAGGAAGTTTGAAATCAATGTCAAATCCTTAACTACCTGATTTGGATAACCTGATAAAGAGCCGGGCTTTGTGCGACCGTTAAGGTCATTGTGACATCCTTGGGCTGTCTCTGAGGGGAGACTGGGTTATGTTTTACAGATAATACCCTCCTCTTCCTTGCGGGGCTGTACTTATACACAGGGGAGGTAGATTTACTGTTTTAATGTTGTTTCAAACTTACTTAAATGTTTGTACATTGGCAAGGGGGTTCAGGGGGTACGGCACGTGTTATCCCTTGGCCAGCATCGAAAGGGCATCATATTCTGGGATATCCTTGGTCTCTGTCAATAACACTCTTGGCACTGGCACTGCCCTGCAGTAAGAATGGGTTTGAATGAATCAACTTCACACTGTACATTTGATTAGAATTAGAAGTATGCCTCGTCGAATCCGGGATTCTCTTGATAATAGAGGTGGATTCATGCGTTATTGATGGGTTTCATGGTAAACTTCGCGATGAACATAATGGATTGGAATCATCTCACACAATATGTGGTCATCTGAAGATCAACAGCTTATGCAAATCTGTTAAAACATTATCTCATTAAAGGTAGTGAGTGAGTTGCGTTTTACGCCGAACTCAGCAATATTCTAGCTATATGGCGGCGGTCTGTAAATAATCGAGTCTGGAACAGACAATCCAGTGATCAACAGCATGAGCATCGATCTGCGCAATTGGGTACCGATAACATGTGTAAACCAAGTCAGCGAGCCTGACCACCCGATCCCGTTAGTCGCCTCTTACGACAAGCATGGGTTACTGAAGATCAATATTCTAACCCGGACCTTCACGGGTTTCATTAATGATATACAATATAAATAACATTATTAAACATCCCATACTTTAATTAATAAAATCGTTTTCAGGTAATTTTGATTGTTTGTTGTTTGACGCCGGACGCTTCAAGAAATCTCAGTTATATGACGGCAATTTGTAAATTATCTAGTCTAGATTGGACGATCCAGTGATTGACATCATGAGCATCGATGTACGACCTTTGTGATACGATTACATGACATGCCTTAGTGAAGCAAATTAGCCTGACCACCCGATCCCGTTAGTCGCCTCATACAACAAGCATGGGTTGCTGAGTTTCAATTCTAACTCGGATCTTAACGGGTAAGGACAAAGTGATGATTGATGATGCTATCTAGAGTCACAAACCAAATGTATTGAATGTCTGTAGTGCCGTTGTGTTGGTTTTTTTATGTTGTTGTTTTTTAATACAGTTAGGATAACGAAGAATAAATGGCAATTACACATTTACACATATGACAGAATCAGTTATAGTTCAAATTGTTATTAATTCAATCTAAACAATAAAGTTTAATTTTTGCTATCTATCGTGATGGTGCATTTTATGCAGTGTTTATTTAAATGAAATCTACATTCATTCTTCTCTCTAATCATAAATCTTTCTATATGATGATTAACTTTTCCGTTATGCATTTGATGGTACGATCCCTAGTTTCGAATTCATGTCTCTTCAAATGAGCGAAAAGGCGAACTTTTGTATAAAAAAGGAAAAATCAAAACTGACATCACGTGTTCGGGAAAGGTTAGCATGTCCTACCCTATCAGTCGCACCCATCACTTCAACAGTGCTCACTCGTCAACATAGAAATTCAGGTTATCTATTAAACATACATCGCTGTTCCTAAATCTTGTCTTGACCCTTTGATCAAATATATGTAACCTTTACAAAATGAACAGATGTACTTTGTGTGAAAAGACGCAAAGTCTGGTCAGAAAACAAATGAGCTAAGTTCTATGATTTCACAAGTCTACTGAATGTCATTGAGTAATCACTTGTTTGCTAAATCATAAATTGTGTTTCTCAATTCCCCTTTTTAATTTTATTAATTAAGGTACGTTTAATGAGTTAAATGTATTACAGGAGGTAAATAGTCGTACTAAGAGACTTCTTGAAAGCACAACGCAGCTGAGAGGACCATAGTTGTTTATCAGTAAGGACGTGTCCTCTACTGTCATATAGACAGAAACGTAAAGTCAAGTGACTGGGTGTGTCTTCGAAATTTCTCTGGTTAGACATGCTGAACGCTGACGTCATACATAAATAGTAATAGACAGCCTTGTCTGCAGATCAAATTACAGCAGAAACAAAAAGGCATGGTTGCGCCATAGTTTAAGGCTGCCGAAGGCCTATTAGCGCCCAAAACATCCATCTAACTTGATAAGAATTAGGAAATTTGATTTTGTTCAAAACAGCAACACTTAGACGATAAGATATTGCAGATGATCTTCATTTAGATACACGTATACATGTCATAAATATTCAAGATGGAGAAATGAAAACAACATACTCTGAATCCTGAACATTTCAGTGAAATGAGTTGTTACTTGAAGCAGTTTCATTTCCTAAACACGAAATAAATGTTAAATTAAGTTATAATCATACACATAAGCGCACAGATGTATTTTCACGAATCAAATCTAACGACTCAAATATTTAGGATATGAAGAAAGAAGTGGTCGAATATTGGGATACGCTGTCACACGATTTCCTACAAACTTTGATCGGTAGTGTACCTAGGCGCATTCAGTCGTGTATTGCTGGGCAAGGTCTCATAAAGTACTGAAAAGACACTTAGACTGTAAGAGAATCATATCTCAACATATTCATTTAAGTAAAACTTCTATAGATTGTATACATGTATTAGATATTTGCTGAAACAACTTTCTCAATAATTTCTGGGAATACTTTAAATCAGGACTCCATTATTTCATCACCAGCTTGTTTAACACAGCCACACGATGTGTCGACCATCCGGTTATCCCGAAGAAAACGTGATACGCCATATTAGTAATCATTTGCGGTTGAGTCGAACATCGGATAACCCGAGGTATGTACGTAGGGCCTTCAAATATAGTCACAACGGTGCTACAGGAAGAATCCCTGAGATGTAACCTTTCGCATTCATTTACAAATGAACAAGTAGAAACAATGAGAACAATTTTATTGTTGTAATCACAGGCCGAGAGAACTACATCTGTTGGTCGATCGAGTTCTCTTTTCGACAGTTAGATCATATTGTACGTGATTAGATGGAATGTCCCAAAGAAAAATTGACATAAACTAAGAATTTAACATATACAGTTGAACATATAACATAAACTCCAGTAAAACACAGTTGTGTCGAACGTTTTCCTGTATCGAAGTGAAACATTTGTCCCTTTATGTGCTTTTTATTATGCTTCATGTTCGTTTGTGTTGAAGTTTGGATAACTCGGGGTATTTAAGTGGGGGCTTTCAGCTTCGACACAACAGTGTTTTACTGTATATGAATATACGAAAAGACGACATACATGGCTGGATATGGACGTACGTGAAAGCATGAGTGCCAAATAAAAATGAAAGCAACCGTTTGAAAAAACAATCCTCGGTGTCCGTTTATCAAAGATGAGTTCAGATGTTCCCGAAAAAGTATCCATCCATTTCTGCTTGAATGCAAGTGATTTCAGCATCTGTTTCTGCCAATACTCTGATGTTCAATGTCAAATGTGATTCGTTCAAGAACTATGACACTATCGTCTTAGCGCTAAGCCCTGTGATGGTCGTAGCTCATAAGCAGTCTTAGCACTAGGGTTGTTTTCTACAACTGCATGTCGATCTGCAAAGGGATCTTAGTGCCAATGTGATGCATCACCTACACCCGTCTGCCATTGACCTGCTACAATTACATCACTAATTGTACTCTATCACGCAAGGTCCTGTGAACTATTACACTACATACTTCTGAACAAAGCTAAAAAAACATACCGTACACAATCAATTATTATGAGACGATGTGTGATGTATGTTTAAGCGGTATTGGTATTCCACCTGTTATCAGTAATACCACGTCGTGCCATCATAAGCAATCAAAACAATCATCATTTTCAAAGGCATCATTATTTGTACAAACAATACACAGATTGCATAAAGACAGTTTCCTTAACATACACTGTCGGACAAAAGAATACACCCGAGAAAAAACATAAAACTAAGGAGAAATGATTTTTTCGATGGTAATGTATTGGGGATCTACTTTTTCAACCTTACGACTGTTTTCAGCTTGGTAAGGTTTTGATGATGGCGGAATGAGTTGGTCAAGTCCACCTTTAAATTGCATGCGTCCTTTTGTGGTGTATTTCGATTAGAAAAGACTGACAAAAGCGTCGTCATCTTTCGTATCTTAGGATCTTAGCATCTCATCTGGTATAATTGCCCTCAGAAGGTGGTGCCTGGGTCACAATCGTAGACGGAAACCTGAAGGAAGAGAATTATACGGGTAAGGTTAAATATAAAAGCTTTATACAATTTCCATACTTGCACACAGTTTTGTAGTAAATTCCCGTACATTTCTGAGATTTACTCTCATGAATGGTGCGTTACAATCATGCTTACATGTCAAACATACATGCCTCGGTAAATGAGGCGGGTTTCACGCCGCTTTTAACAGTATTTCAGTTTTATCAGAGTGACAAACTAAAGCATAAATTTTTGTTGGTCTTAGACCTTTACCAGGTTGGTAAACCCATGGGTAAGGGTAGAATGCTACATATAGAAACACAATGATAAGTTATATTACATTGCAGCAACGTGGGCAACCCGACCCCTTTACCAGGTACGAAGCCACGTGGAACCAGTATATTGTCATTTACCACAAAGAAGAACCATTATATGTATATGTCAAAGGCATAATCCGGGGCCCACCAACTCACGGACAACAGTCCTGAAAAGAAAGCTGTTTTATTGCTTCATTCCGTTGCTTGTGTCACGTACCGTGCTAATGTCACCTATGAAGGCTGTCTTTGTATCAGAAGATGCATCAGAGCCGAGGTACACTCCGTCCGTCATTATGTTTACATCTTTAGCTGAAACAGTTGGAGAGCATGCAGGTGCCAACAGATTTGTCATTCATTATAGGGATGGACGCTCAGAGGAATGGTCACCAATCATGGGAAGCTTCATAAAGAATTGACACACATAATTATCCTAGGTCATGAGAATATAGAACATACATGTATATAGTAAAGTATGAATTTGCATTTTGTCTTAATCGTTTTGTCATGAGCATTATATAAAGACATGAAGAGGATGATCTAAAATACTGAGCATTTGTGAAGGAGCATATTTTCAGTACATTATTGCAACGATAACGCCTGACATTCCTTTGAAATAGAAGCTCGGATCTTAAAGTCTAGTTAAAAACTTAGCTAATCAAAATATATACATGATTTAGAGTTAACGTGATATGAACATATGTCACGTCAGGACAAAAGGAAACCTCGTCTTGACTATTCTCAAAATCAAATTCCATTTTCAAAACAACTGCCATTTCACAAATATTTCGCATCATGCTTCGGATTAGAAAAGGCACATTGGCAGTGGCCACGCGTTGACCAATTTCTGAGATGGTTGATTATACTAGGATGAACTGTTATTTAGATCAAAGTTAACACATTAGGATTGGTATAAATATAACTTACCAAAAACCTGAGATATGTATTTTACGCTGCCTGTCTCTACTACGGCCGTCAGGATTCTGTCTTTGTACAAGGCTGTAACAGTCTTCCAGTCAGATCGCGATATACCCTGGAAAATAAACCAATTAAGCTATAACATCCAAGATACACAACTACTGATGGGGATTCCAGTCATCTTATCTTAGAAAATCAATACATTTGTTTTAACGACTCAGATTTAGTGAGTGAGTAAGTGAGTTTAGTTTTACGCCACACTCAGCAATATTCCAGCTATATGGCGGCGGTCTGTAAATATTTGAGTCTGAAACAGACAATCCAGTGATCAACAGCATGAGCATCGATCTGCGCAACTGGGAACCCATGACATGTGTCAACCAAGTCAGCTGGCCTGACAACCCGATCCCGTTAGTCGGCTCTTACGACAAGCATAGTCGCCTTTTTAGGCAAGCATGGGTTGCTGAAGACCTATTCTACCCCGGATCTTCACGGGTCCGACTCAGATTTACAGGTTTTCGAACATAGTAGGAGTAATGTGGTTGCAAATTCAGTCAAACCCCAGTCTTCATTTAACCTATTTGTTTTCCCCTAAACTTGTCAGATTACTTTTTATAAGTGAGTAAGTTTTACGTCGCTTTTAGCAATATTACAGCAAAATCACAGCGCGGGACACCAGAAATGGGCTTCACACATTGTACCCATGTGGGGAATCGAACCTGGGTACTTTTACAAACTATTTCAGGAATGAGTCATAGTGAAATAGACATAATCACAATTTAAAACGTCTTCCAATTACTTTAAAAGCAACTCGAAAATCTTAGACTGTAAACAAAATAGACACGACTTGTTACTTATATTTAATACCCTGTATGCCATGTCTCCATTTCACAGATGAAATGCATTTGTATTCAGCCACCATTACCACAGAGCTAGCCAATTGATGAGAATGGTGGACAATTGCGATTTCCTTTATATGAGCGTATATGCTGTTTGTGCTATCATCCGATGGTTTGTCTTCCAAGCTCAATGGGCGGTGGGGTAGCCAAGTGATAAAAGCACTCGCTCGTCACTCCGGAGACCCGGGTTCGATCCCCCTCATAGGTACAATATGTGAAGTCCATTTCTTCAGTTCCCCGCCCTGGTATATATTGCTGGAATATTGCTAAAAGTTGCGTGAAACTAAACTCACTCACACTTACTCACTCCATCTATTTACAGGCAGTTTAAAGAAAACTTAAATATTACCAGTGCAGATCTATGAAACACTGAAGCTTTCATACTTACACTTGTGAAAATGAACAGCCTGGAGATCACGCCATATTTATTGGTGATGACGAATTCTATCCCGTCATTTGTACTGGTGATGACAAGTTTGTCCGTACAACTGACCAACACTCTGCTGTCGTTTATTGCAGCATTCTCTCGGAACCGGAACTTTAGTGCCAGGGGTCGGTTTGACGTCGTCATCGTTACGTTTAGGAACACGTAGCTAATGTTGTTGAAGACGCCGACGTCGTCAATAGTGAAGACGTCTCTGATAATCAGCCATGACGGAGTTGTTGCTGAACTAAACGCCCACATATATCTTGCTTCACAGGTATCTGGAAGATGAGACGGTGGGTTAGTGGGTTTGTGAGTTGAATGGGTGAGTGAGTGAGTGGGATAATTGGTTTATGGGTGAATGGGTGAGTGAGTGAGTGAGAGAGTGACGGTGGGTTACTGGATTTGTGACTTTGTGAGTGATTGAATTGGTGAATGAGTGAGTGGGTTTGGTGGACGAGAGAGTGAGTGATTGGGGTTGGGTGAGTGAGTGAGAGGTGTTGGGTGAGTGAGTGAAACGTTTGAGGCCGTTACGGTACTGCTGGTAATTAAAGTGTGTCATGTGATTATGAATTTTACAGCGTTTTGAAACCCACAAAAACGGTTACAGTGTAGAAACATACTTTTGGGGTATCAACCTATCAACAGCAAACCGCTAGCTGAATCACAAAAGTTAATGTACGTTATTATCGGTAACACAATTTCCATATCGATAATCATGAATAATGTTTCCTATCGACGATATTTCCGATTATCGATCATTTTAGTCAGCCATATAGTCCACCTCTAGACTGTAATGCTACATACTTCTTTTCAGTGGAATTTCAGCAGATGTTTTTTCACATTGTGTAGCCTTTTAGCGTTTCTTTCTGTGAACTGCCTCTGTTGTGTAGTGGATAGAGAGTCCGCCCGGAGAGCGGAAGGTCGCGGGTTCGATCCCCGACCGCGTCATACCAAAAGACGTTAAAATATGGTACTTGTTGGTCCCTGCCTGGCGCTTGGCATTAATGGGTACAACAAGGACTGGTCGGCTTGGAGTCAGTATAATGTGTCTGAGTGGGGTATTCATGCTTCACTGCGGCGTGGTATCTCAGTGGGCTAGCACTATAAAACCAGTCTGGGCTAGTACAAGCAGCCGCACATACACATACACACGTATGCACGTCGTCATATGAGCGAACTATTCTCCAGCACGACGTTAAACCCAATTTCACCTAACCTTCTTTCTGTGATGAATTACAGGCGAATATTATACATGCCCGTTATTATATATGGTCCTTATCGAATATAACATTACTACTGGTATATCAAGGTGAGTCATGTAATTATGAATATTACAGCTCTTGACATAACAATAAAACTGTGTGTTTAACCAATATATTACAGGCCAAAGTATCAACTGGATGAAACTTCAAACCCAAGATACACCTTAATTATCCTTAATCTCTCTACATTACTCCTGTCATGAAGTCTCAACAAAGATCCATCTGTTCTGTCTTTAAATATGCCTTCATATATCAATCCATACTCTTCACATTGGTCCAAGGCGCTGAACAGAATGTGGTCGTAAGCAGAGCTTCGTTAAAACACTGAGAGATTTTAATGCCGCTCCGAACAGTATTTGTTACATGAAGTCGTCGGGGATTACGGACTGTTACGGAAAACAACTACAAAAACAAGCATAGGTAAAGTGTTGACCAACTAAGTGTCACATTTGGACCAACGATCGTTCGGATCCTAGAATGCCCAAGAGACACAACTCTTCGATGATTGAGGCTATTGCACTAACTTATTCACTCTAAACACAGAGAGTCTGTTTTCACGTATACAAAACTGATCTGAAAGGTTAATTAATAAACGTTCTATGTTCTATTAAAGTAGCCTAGTGGTTCAGGTGCTTTCCGTCCGACGAGGTTCGATACCTGATATATGTGATAGTTATTCCCCCATTGCTTTCTGGCTGAATTTAAAAAAACCGCAAATAATTATACATTAGAACGATAACAATTCACATAACCTACCGGTGCTCTTAATGAGGCATCCACAGTCCACGATGTCGAAAGAACTGTTTTGAGGGCAAGAAGCACTACTCCACCCGAAGCCCCCGACAGAGATGTTGTAGAACTGTGGGATGTTCCAGTCTGGATATTTGTCACACACATCTTGAAAATAAATTATGATAAATGAGACAATAGATGCAAACCTAGCTGTTCGCTTTGTGCCGTGACTATTCAGCAAAAGGGATTTTTACCAATCTGTCCATTTGAAGGCAGCGTCAACGAAAATCGGAGTTTAAAGAATGACCACTCAATAGACTTTGAGTGAGTTCTTTAACCAAGTTGTGGCACCTATTTGACCAATACTTGCGTCAGATTTACTTGCGATATCTGTTGTTGTTTTGTTTTTTTAACGCCGCACTCAGCAATATTCTAGCTATATGGCGGCGGTCTGTAAATAATGTGGACCAGACAATCCAGTGATCCACAGCATGAGCACATCGATCTATACAACTGAGATACGATGATATGTGTCAACCAAGCTGCCAGCGAACCTGGCCATCCGATCCCGTCAGTCGCTTCTTGCAAGCATGGGTTACTGAAGACCATTACTAACCCGGATCTTCACGGGTTACTTGCACTTTCGGAATGGCCAGTGAAACACTGCTGAGAATCAACTGAAACAACTATAGCGTCATCACAATGACTGAACCAGCCATACTTGATGGCAGTCTTGTAGTCTTGGTCAAGTCTCGTTAGTACAGGTTAAAACTCAGGAGGTCAGGGACTGTGCCACGCTTTGAGACCACCTATCCTCATTAGCTGGGTTCTAACGATAGTTGCCTATCCTATCACTGAACACTCATGAACAGGTCGACTTCAGGGCTGAAGCTTGACTAACTAGCATCTGACAAGAACATATCTTAGAGATCAAAACAAAAAGAGGAATCAAGAGTATTTATAATATTCAGAATAGCAGTGACGTAGACTTGCATTGTTTGTTTGTTTAATGTTTATAATTAACGAAGCGCTCAGCAGTATTCCAGCTTCATGGTGCATGAGTCTGGATCATACAATCCAGTGATCAACAGCATGAGCATCGGTCGACGCAACTGGGATACGATATCAGGCATCAGTCTAGTCAACAATCCCGACTACCAGATCCCTTAGTCTCATCTTACGACAAGCATGGGTTGCTGAAGACTAAATCACCGCGGGTCTAATAGACTTGGGCTGTAATTGTTTCAGGGTGTAACAGACTAGGCTGAGGTTTACCTCTGGTGAAGTATGGAGAGGGACAGACATCGTCACAGTAGAAGTTCGGGCGACATCCTGCAATGGGGGAGAAACTGAAGCCGATGGCGCAGCACCTCGACTCTAACTTTCCCTGCACATACTTCCTGTAGGATCTGCAGCTGCCCTCCATCTTGTAAGTAGGTCCACAGTTCCGGGATGCTATGGTGCAATTCAAACGCATTGAATTGAAAACAGTTTTATATTGACACTGAATGGATAGCCTACACTGTTCCGTTCGGATGTTGAAGCGGATTTAGTAGTAGTAGTAGTAGTAGTAGTAGTAGTAGTGAGTGAGGTGAGGTGAGGTGAGGTGAGGTGAGGTGAGGTGAGGTGAGGTGAGGTGAGGTGAGGTGAGGTGAGGTGAGGTGAGGTGAGGTGAGGTGAGGTGAGGTGAGGTGAGGTGAGGTGAGGTGAAATTGGGTTTAACGTCGTACTTGAGAATATTTCGCTCATATGACGACGTGCATGCGTGTGTATGTGTATGTGCGGCTGCTTGTACTAGCCCAGACTTAAGCTGGTTTTATAGTGCACGCCGCAGTGAAGCATGAATACCCCACTCAGACACATTATACTGACTCCGAGCCGACCAGTCCTTGTTGTACCCATTAATGCCGAGCGCCAGGCAGGGACCAACAAGTACCATATTTTAACGTATTTTGGTATGACGCGGTCGGGGATCGAACCCGCGACCTTCCGCTCTCCGGGCGGACCCTCTAACCACTACACCACGGAGGCGGTCAGTAGTAGTAGTAGTAGTAGTAGTAGTAGTAGTAGTAGTAGTAGTAGTAGTAGTAGCAGCAGCAGCAGCTGTAGCAGCGGTTTGGTAGAAGTATATACCTACATGCCTAACTACCTATCTACAGGTTGTTTCTCATACATACATACACGCAAATGCACATACACATGCACACGTACATGCACATGCTTAAGGATGAGATCAGTAAATTGACTGAATGCTAATTACAGAGTTATGTATGAAGTCTCACATCTCTATGCCAGGAACCTTCAACATGCAAACGGGGCAGAGGGGTAGCCTAGTTGTTAAAGCGTTCGCTTGTCACGCCGAAGACCCGGGTTCGATTCCCCACATTGGTACAATGTGTGAAGCCCATTTCCGGTGTGCCCCGTCGTGATACTGCTGGAATATTGTTAAAAGCGACGTAAAACCCAATCACTCACTCAACATGTAAAGACCTAGCGTGAGAATACAGTCGGTTATTATTTCAGAAGGAATGGCAATAACTGCCTACCCATAGGACACGAGACCTTCCCGGATTCCACACATGCAAACGTTGCTTGATTCCATGAGTAACCGAAGGAGCAGCTTCTGTAGACGCCGACGACGCTGCCGTTGGGGTGGAAGTAACACTGGATGTACTTGTCACACTCAGTAGGATGGCTGCGGTAGCCCACCCCGTACCTCATGACCACGTCGTCACACACACCAATCACTGTAAATCATAATTTATTAGAGCCAAACGGGAAAAATGAAAATCCAGATATTTGAAAATTGCGTGCTACAAAGTATATTTCATAAAAAATTGAAAAGCTATAACTCATGAACTAACAAATGTCCGACTCGTATGTCCGAATAACGGTGGTTAGTTGTCAAAACTTGGTATTCGAACGCTCAATTTGATACTTTTGAACGCAGACTTTTGAACTTTCCCGAAACCTTAGTCATCGACAACAAAAGTCCATCAAGGTCAGCAACCTGTTGTTATCAGCAGGACAGAACAGAACTTTATTGCTTTTCAGGCCGTAAGACAACGGCATATGAAGATCACAGTGATTATACAAATGTATTCATTTTGGTGACAGGGCTGGAGGTATAAGGCATATAAGCTACAAATAATAAATAGTAGTACATAATACTTTCTTTTACACAGGACTATCTTCGCCAGCACACGCATCAACGTTGTCAGTAATCCATCTATACGCTTACTGAAGCTATCTTGCCTTTGCGCCCGATGGCGCCTTATTTGTAAGTTAATCTGGACTGGGTTTTGTTTTCTCTGATTTGACATGTTATTTGCAAACCATTTCGCTCCCAACTCCAAGCGGGCTCTCTAACTGTCCGAAAATCCAGGTACTTTATGATTTCCTGTGACCTGATGGTAACACTTTGTGTTGTGAGAAATATACTGGATAATATTTTAGAGTATACTGATCTGTGCGTGAATTATAAAAGTCAGCATATAGAGATATATTTTGTTACAAGTAGTATGCTTTTTTAGTCTACGTAACTTATCAGACACAATTAACGTTAAACTATTAAATGCATACCTTTATGATTATTCAACATTAACTCTTTGTACTGTTTCGTACTAATTAGAAGTTGCAGTTTTTGTCTACGTAACTTTGCCCGTTAAACTATAGCTTACCTTTATGATTATGCAACATTCTCTGACTCCTTACATGAAGCGATAGATATTTATATGCAGAGAGTCAAATATACGCGTGTGGGAGATCATAGAACTATACTCACTAGGACAAGTAGCTAAGTCATAGCTAACGGTTTTATTCTGCCTGGTAGGCCCTATGCTGTTGGAGGATTATATACAGGCTTATACTCACTAGGACATGGACCCAAGCCACAGCTAACGGTCTTATTCTGCCTGGTAGGGCCTACGCTGTTGGAGGATTATATACAGGATTATACTCACTAGGACATGGACCCAAGCCACAGCTAACGGTTTTATTCTGCCTGGTATGCCCTACGCTGTTGGAGGATTATATACAGGCTTATACTCACTAGGACATGGACCCAAGCCACAGCTAACGGTCTTATTCTGCCTGGTAGGCCATATGCTGTTGGAGGATTATATACAGGATTATGCTCACTTGGACAAAGACCCAAGCCATAACTTACGGTTTTATCCTGTGTGGTAGGTCCTACTCTATTGGAGCATTATATTCAGGCTTATACTCACTAAAATAAGGACCCAAGCCATAGCTTATGGTTCTATTCTGACTGGTAGGTCCTACGCTATTGGAGGATTATATACAGGCTTATACTCACTAGGACATGGACCCAAGCCACAGCTAACGGTCATATTCTGGCTGGTAGGTCCTACACAGTTGGCTCCACCAGTCTGTGGGTTGATGCAGGTCCGAACTCTGGTCACCATCTTTGTGGCTGCCTGTCCGCACGTCACATTACATGGGGGACTGCTCCACTGGCTCCATCCGGTGAAGTTACCGTCAGCTGATGTACAGACCATGTATAACCTTGTACGATAACATCATGCTTATACCCTACTGTTTGTGCTACTTTGGCAGAATAAATAGTTTCTTTTAAATGTAAATATCTCATGGTGGTTACGCTGAAGACCCGGGTTCGATTCCCCACATGGGTACAATGCGTGAAGCCTATTTCTGGTGTCGCCTGCCATGATATTGCTGGAATGTGGCTAAAAGCGGCGTAAAACCCCAATCATTCTCTCCCAAGTAGGTCGAACACGATTTTATTAGAGCGCCGACCAGAGCTGCGAACGACAAGAATCGATTCCATGTTTATATTTTCTTGTTGAGCATCACTATCAGCTGAACAGATAACCAATGTTGAAGTTGACCGTAAACATACTTGGACAGCTGGAAAGGTTACAATTTCTCCTCTCGACCTCAATTCGAGTCTCTGTACAGTCTCTTCCCCGCAATGCGGGCGCAGGGCTGGTGCAGAGCCTTGTTCTGGTAGCATCTGTTGTCTCTGCCTCGCCACAAGTGGCACTGCATGGCATTGTCGTCCATTTACTCCACTCTGATATCCCTCCATCAACTTTAAATGTATGGAAACATTGTTCTGAATTTTAAGCGCCAGCCCCAAAGCATGAGCTCAAACAATCAGTTTTAGTGACAATTTGGATCCAACTACACTGGCATTCAATGATCTTGAAATGTACTTCTACAACACAAACACATGTTTCAATTTAGTTTTAGGTTCACTGGATAAAACTATAGATGTACCAACATATGAAGTGGTGTCATCATGTTGCAAGTCTATTTATACTATTTCTTATACCGTGATTTAATGCATATGGTCTGTGCAAGATGATATATTGTATTAAATCATAGCATGGTAGAAATATTATCCAGAATTCATGTTATACACTGATGTACATACATCCAAACCTATCAATGCATGACAGAATCAGCAGGAGCTAAGCCTTACATAGCAGACTTGCAGGAATAACATAACGATGTAAATTACATAGAGATTATTAACCGAGTGTGTTTCCGTATCATTAATATCTTATATTAGGAATACAAATTGTATTATGCGAACCTTAGTCGGTTTCATTCTACCCATGAAAAGGTACAAAATGGAATAAACAGCAATGAAGTGTTTTATGATAGAATTATACTGGGACATGGGTGTAGGATATAACTAACGACGGTATGTTGGCGGGTAGATAGTACACTGTTGGAGGATTATTTACAGGATTTTAAATTACATTTGTGACGTCATTCCATTGTCTGCTCGCTCCATTATGTTTTTAGGAATGGAGATATGTGTACCAGTTTCAAATGTAAGACCTTGATAGTTCGTACTCGTTGCATTACATTTGGCTTTTAAAATCACCAATACTTTGAATGTAATGTAAGTAGGATAATTTTCCCGTAACACTCCATTCCTTAAAAATAATGGGCCCCGGCTCAATTATTTTAAGGAATGGAGAGTTACTCGGACATTACCCTCTTCATACTCACTAGGACAAGGACCTAAGCCACAGCTAACGGTTGTATTCTGACTGATAGGTCCAACACAGGTGGCTCCACCGAACTGTGGAGGGATGCAGGTCCGAACTCTGGTCACAATGTTTGTGGCTGCCTGGCCACACGTAACATTACATGGTGGGGTGCTCCACTGGCTCCAGTCGGTGAAGTAACCGTCAACTGTAATGGTAATTGCGAAAACTGTAACCTTATGCAGCAGCATATATCTCTGTACCTAACAGTTTTTTATCCAAGATCTCAACTCAAGAAGCACACAAGAGTAAGTAAGTGTGGTTTCATGCTTCTTTTAGCAATATTCAAGCAAAAGTACGTCAGGGGACACCAGAAATGGGCTTCACACATTGTACCCATGTGGGGAATCGAACCCGGGTCGAGCGTGACGAGCGAACGGTTTAACCTCCAGGCTAACCCAGCACACAAGAAGGTAATGTAATGTAAGACACCAAGACAGACTGATAGAGACATATATACCGACAAGACGGGACTTATTGTTAACATATCGTTATTTTGTTAATATTTCCATTGCCTCAAGATGGAACACATCATGTGATTGTTTGTTTGTTTGTTTGTTTAACGCCGCACCAAGCAATATTCCAGCCATATAACGACTTTCTGTAAATAATCGAGTCTGGACCAGACAATCCAGTGATCATCAACCCCAGCATCAATGTACGCAACTGGGATCAACCAAGTCAGCAAGTCCGACCACGCTATCCCGTTATTTGCATCGTACGACAAGCATGGGCCGCCGAAGATCAATTCTAACCCGGATTTTCACGGGTCCACACTCTGTGAAGATGCCATCAATTAAAATGAAAATTATACACAACTGCTCATTGATAAAATTGATACAAAGTTGGAAATTATATCAGTACGAACCATTGATACTGAATGGATACTTCTATTTTGTTCTGAATTTCTTACATTAATAAGACTATGTATATGGTCATGATCCGTGGCCCAAGTGAGTGCGTGAGTTGAATTTGTCCGTAGCATCGGCATTATTTCAGCCATTTAGCAAAGAGAACAAGTCGGCATATGTACTGGTATGCTGTGGAAATTGAACGAAGATACCTATCGCTCGCAGTGGAAGTTAAACTAAACTACATAAATTTTGACTCACCTTTCAATCAACTAAACGTGAAATCCCCTTTTAATCAACTGAGCGTGAAATCCTCTTTTAATTAACTAAACGTGAAATCCCCTTTTAACGGAATGAGAAAGAAGAAATAAACTAATAAAAAATAAAGTTAATAGGAAGAAATTGTCTATCTAGCAACTGTCAGATGTTAATGGATAATTCTCTCAACTATGTCTATTTCTATTCTATTTAATCTTTTCTATTGTATTTGAAAACCTATCACTTGGAAAGAGATACCCATCAACATCATGTCACTAGCGCCTAAAACTGAAAGTCTAAAGCGGCCTTCAAACGGCAAACTCGTGTTTGAGAGTGTGAACATCAACACCACCAATTTCAGAGTTGTCAAACTGTTGTCGAGAAATAGGATTGGTCTCTGTTTTCACCAACTTTTCCATCAAACCTTAGGTGTTGTCAAACTCGAATATGTCGTGTGAAGTGCTGTCAAACTCGCGTTGTTCAGAAACAACAAATTGCAGTCAACGAAATTATCACGTGACCGCACCGATCGAGACATGGCGCTCAAATGACACGAACGTTTGACAAC